TTTCGCTTCTAGTAACGAATCAATTATGGCAAATAAGCTTCCTTCAACCAATTTGGAACGATTTCTAAGACGGATTAAATCTCCGCTTACTCTTTAATAGCGCGAAATATATCGCGCGTTAATTGTCCCAAATTGGCCAAATTGCCAATCTTTAAACCCCCATAACTTTATGAAAAACGATCACAGGTAAAATATCTTTTCAAATTTGAGCTCAAGATAACAATACCTTTTGAATGATATAAAAAAATTCCGTCAAAAATGGCTAGTTAAAAAGTCGAAATTTGTCTGAAGAAAAAAAAACCCACCCCGAGCACAAATATTCCGTTACTTTCGTATCGAAAGTCGGAACAACAAAACTATGCTAGTATCAGGGCAAATCGCTGAATGTTCCGACTGCCTTTTAGGACTATGGAGCAGTAATAGATTGAAACAAATTAAGAATGTAATAAAATGAAATGAAGGAAATTTTTTTTTATTTAAGATTTTTGCAAAAATCATCCCACCACCAAATCTATCACCATATAAAGTACAAAGTGATAGCAACAAATCAATTATGGCAAATAAGCTTCTTTCAACCAATTTGGAACGATTTCTATGACAGATTAAATCTCCGCTGACGCGTTAATAGCGCGAAATATATCGCGCGTTAATTGTCCCAACTTATTCAAAATGGCAATCTTTAAACCCTTATAACTATACAAAAATGTTACAGGTGAATATCTTTTCAAATTTAAGCTCAGGACAGAAAAATTTTTTGAATGATATAAAAAATGCCGTCAAAAGTCGCTAGTTAAAGAGTCCAAACTTGTGTGAAAAAAAATCAACCCGAGCACAAATATTCCGTCATTTTTTTTCATAAGTCGGAACAATTAACAGCGTACAATTTCTTTTCTTGTCGTTCAATGCCTCAATATTTGAAAACCACAACACTTAACTCTCATTCTAGAAAATAACTTCGTTTAAATTGGTAAAATCAGCGAATCTTTGAAGTTTTTTTTGCCATTTAGACCCAAAAGTTGTCTCCAGTATTTAAGAAAAATGAACACAAATCGGGTACAAGTCTGCTCGTATCAGGGCGAAGCTTGAATGCTCTGACTGCTTTTGAAGGTTCATGTAGCAGCAGTAATAACATAGAAACATTATATGAAATAAAACAAAATGAAAATTTTTTTCTAAATTTTGAAATTTTTTATGAAAATCACCCTCCCACACGCCATATAAAGTACAAAAAGATAGTTTTCGTTCCTTGTAACACATCAATTATGGCAAATAATCTTCGTTCAACCAATTTGGAACAATTTATAAGACGGATTAAATCTCCGCTTACGCGTTAATAGCGCGAATTATATCGCGCGTTAATTGTCCCAAATTGGTCAAAATGGCCAAAATTGCAATCTTTAAACCCTCATAACTTTACGAAAAATAATCACAGGTGAATTATCTTTTCAAATTTAGGCTCAGGGCGACAATACGTTTTGAATGATATATAAAATTCCGTCAAAATGGCTAGTTAAAAAGTCGAAATTTGTCTGAAGAAAAAAAACCCACCCCGAGCACAAACTTTCCGTTACTTTCGTATCGAAAGTCGGAACAATAACGGATTTTCTTGGTATAAAGTGTTGTAAGTATAATCGATTCCCATCTTAGGTTCAGACATTAAAATTGAACTAAAAATGGGTTTAAATGGATTTTAAAATATTTAGGAAATCACATTAAAATGAATTTTTTTCCACTTTATTTTGTTTCGCGCCTCGTGCAAATTTTTGCAAGAATTTCTGCGTTTATCAAGTGAGTTATGCGGAAACTTTGAAAAGCGAGAGTACGGCCTAATCAATTTCTAAACCAAAAATTAAATTGCAAAAAGATTCCGTTAGGTTCTCATAAGTTCTACCCCCTAACTTTTGCCCCTTTTTCCCCCGTCAACCCCCCTAACCTTTGCTGTTTTGCTTCTCTCCCCCCACTGAACCCCCCTCCCACTGAACCCCCCTTCCACTGAACCCCCCTCCCACTGAACCCCCAAAGCCCCCCCCCCCACCTGAACACCCCCCACATGAACCCACCAACCCTCCCTCACCTGAACCCACCCCGCCTCTCCCCCACATGAACCCACCCCTCTCCCACTTGATCTCCTGAGACATCCCCCCAGCTGAACCAGATCCCGCAGCCTGAAACAACGAAACGGGGGGAGGGGTAATGGAAGGGGGATTAGTCCACCTCCAACTTTCCAACTTCAGCCCCCCCCCCCCAAGTTTCTAATTGCTTAACAAAAATGTTGAAAAGAACAAAATTCCGTTTTTGAGTAACATAAAAAGTAACAAAAATATCAAAGTTAGCCAGAAAAAAAATTAAATTGAACAAAAAGTTTGCAACGTTACCAACTTTAGTTTAAAACGTAGAAAAGACTTTAAGTGCGTTGAAATTCGCATCTCAGTAAAGTGGAAAAAAATCGATTATAGTTTAGTTTCAATGTAAGTGTTAAAAAAATGAAAAAAAATCGATTATTAGGGATGAAAAAAAGATTTTGTTGCCTCAAAAAATAGTTATATTATAACCCATTTTTAATTGATTCTAATCGATTTGTTTTCACTTTTGTGGACATTGACAAGGAAACTCAATTATAATCGATTTTTATTCATGGAACTCCAATGCGGGCTGCTACCCAAGTTGCCTACGTTTTGAATAGAAAGTACTTCAACAAGCATTCTTTTTTGCTATATTAATGCGAAACAAACTGAGCATCCGTTAAAAGAACTGCAAAGGCTGATCAAATTTGTTAAATATAGTTTTGGCAAAAAATATTTTGAAGATATAAACGTTTATAGCTGGTACAAGAGTTTGAAAAAAGTCTTTTCAATGTCTCAATGCTCTGAATCAATTCTTTTTTGCATCAATGGTTTTTCCGTTTTTTTGAAGAGCTATTTTGGAGTTAACCGGAATTATTCCGTCTTATAACCATTATGTTCAGTGTTCCAGTTTTTGTTACATGATATGGTCCTCAAAGTTTATACTTAGTTCGTGGTTGTCGCCTTTCTGCTATCGAATGACCTAATTTTTGTATAAGTTTTGTTCAAAAATGCGGAATTCTTATGAACGAACGCCAGGCATGTTTGTGTCAATTGTAAGCGGGATCGGGCGGTCATTTGGAGTATTAGACTTTCTCTAAAGAGAGAGTTAGGCCAACTGCAGATAGACAAAACTAGTGACGTTGTTTGGTTCGAATCTCTGAAAAGTTTTAAGCCACTAGTTTACTTGTTTAGTCCCGTGGCAAAACTAGTTTGTATGCTTTGTCCCGCCTTTTTCCTAAAAACAAAAGCATGCTCGAGATTCCATTATACGCCTTGGGTTTGGTATCCAAATCGGTACTCACTAAACTAACTAGGCCAGCTGTGTTATCAACAAAAACATTATGCAGCTTACTGTGAGAAGTGAGAATCAACCCAAATAATGCACCTCTGTTTTTATTACCTGCCTAAGCTCTATGCTGGTGATTGCCTCGACGTTTGAGATTTCTTTGATCTTTGTTTTGGCGCTTGCGCTCGGAGACACCTTTCTGAAAATTTTTCTAAAACTTTTCGCTGAACAAAAATTTGCACATGATGTTGTCAAAAGTTGGCTCAATTGGTAGGACACTTGAAAATGAAGAATTGATTGAGACAGTAATTCCTAGAAAGTAATTGGTATGAAATAATTTCGATCTACATTTTGATACGCAAAACTTTTATTATGATAAAACTCAAAAAATAGATAAAAGTCAAGCGAAAATGTACCGACGTTTTTTAGCTGAAAAATTCTCTACGGCCTAACAATTTATGAATCAAAATTAACATCAAAATTTTTGGCGTGAAGTTTTTTTTGTAAAAAAATTATCCTGAGTGCGGGAGATATAAGCAAAGAAAGTTTGTAACTTGCTTTTGGAAAATTCTTTCAAATTATATTGACAAAATTTCATATAATTTCTTTTTCCAGATAACTATAGAGGAGATAACAGCGTTTGAACAATTATTTTGTTCAACATATAATTCAACCTTTCTGCTTACTTTTTTAAATTTTATGTTTTTTTTTCATTACAGTCTAATACAAACGTAACAAAAAATAATGTGTTTGTTTAAATTTTTCTCACTAGTATTTTGTGATTTGTCATTAGAACCTAAAAAGTTTGCTGAGCAGTCAAAATTCGAACTTAACATGTTGCTTTTCTTTTTTTCGACAACAGATTTTGTCGTGTTTTTGACTTCAAGGAACTTTCGAAATTTGTGAAATTCTTTTTCAATGTTTTTGAATACCGCGGTTAAACCAAATGCACCGAGTTTACCGTTGTAATAAATTCGGAAATATACAACCAGACGACTCTTTAAAGAAGTTGTAAATAGGGGTGAAATTGACGAAGCGGCTCAAACTCCGGCGCTTCCCAAATGAAAAGTCGGAAGTTTGAGGCGCACCATGAGGATGAAGAACCTTTATCCAGCCTAGAAAACTAATTAAAAAAACCAACTGCAATGCCTTGATTTTTCCGTAAAGAACCGAACAAGCCATATGTTAGTCCTTTCCAATGAGAATAATGTCTTAATCAGTGTTCTGTTCTTGTATCAGCAAGATTATTGGAGTGTCTTTTTCATCTTAAGACGATGCTTCTAAGACTTTTGTATAAGATGATCTATAAGCCCCTTCATCTGAGCTCGACTAAACTTCGACTCTCTGACTAAATTACGACTCCTAATGTTTTGACTTAGCATTCGATTTTTGGGCTTTTTAGGGCTAATTTTATTGCTTGCTGTTCAAAGCATATTAGCGCGTTTGACCGAAAACTCGTAAAAACAGCCTAAAAAATCCCAAAAATCTAACGCTATAAGTCAAAATATTACGAGTCGTAATTTAGTCAGAGAGTCGAAATTTATTCAAGCTCAATTGAAGAGGGCTTACACATGATCTTATAAAAATAGTTTAAACAGTCTCGTTCAAAACATAAACTACAAATCTCGACTCGGGTTTATTTTTTGCAGGCTATCCCCATGACAAACTGCAGAAGCGGGTGCTACACATGATGGTGCTGGACTACGACAAGTTCAGCCGAGATGACGTCATCGGGGAGATCAACGTGCCACTGAATGAAATTGACCTCTCACACCCCCTCCAGATGTGGAAGGAACTCAGTCCCATTTCCAAGGTCAGTCAGGGCAGGTATCGAGGTCAGTCAGGGCAGGTACCGAGGCCAGTCAGGGTAGGTACCGAGGTCAGTTAGGGCAGGTATCGAGGTCAGTCAGGGCAGGTATCGAGGTCAAATTAGGACAGGGACCGAGGCTAGGTTGATATCACGAAGCTCTGATTGTTTGTAGTAATGTAACTTTATCGCTTTAAGAATTGTATAAGCATATATGTGTGGATCATTGCATGACTTTTTTTGCTTCAAAATCAATTGTTTATTTTGTTTATTAACAGAATTAATTCGTTCTACATGTAAAATGATGATTCTTAATAGAATATTTTATTTAATTGTCAACCATCAATTTACATAGAACATAGAACAAGTTCCTTTTCATAGAACAAATTTAAACTTTTATTATCATTTGCTGAAACGACTACAAGAAAAACATTAATTTTACTGACAGGAGAAATACAGGCGGGGTGAGATCTTGATCACGCTTTCGTACAACCCCCTCACAGGAATCCTGGCGGTCACAATAGTCAGAGCGAAAGACCTCAAACCTATGGACATCTCGGGTACATCAGGTGAGAATAATTTTAAGTTTCTTGCTCCCCCTCAACTCTGGTTTCCACTTTGATTCCATTCTATAACGTCATCTTTTTTGGGAAGCAATTTTTGATGAAGACTGCGTTGGCGACATTATGTGACTATAGTTAAGCTGGGAACACTGGGAGTAATTTAATGGTAACTATGGATTATCTAGGGTAGGGGAAAAAATTACAGGTGACCAACTGTCCTCTTTCCATGTCTGTACTCTATGCTTAATTAGGAGCATAGGTAGACTTCGTGGCTATGTCCAAGCTTTTCTTTGTATCATAGCCGTACGTCAAGATCATATGTATGCTGCAAATTTAAAAAAAAACAGACCAAAAAAGGCGTTTTTAGGCACTTTTTGAGAAACTTTGATCAAAAAATCGCAGTTTTCTATGAAATTCTTCTTTAGGCGCCAAAGGCGCTTTGAGAAAGTTTTTAGGGTCATTCAGCCATAAATTCATATCTCAAAATAGTACAAAGGGGGAAACCTTTGGGTCGGCAGGGGCTCGAATCCCTGAGAGGAAGAAGGCGTCATCCCACTTCCCCCCTAAACCCGCTGCTGGATGCTGCTATTATTAACAAAATCATGTTATAGCATTTAGGGGGCGGTGGTGAAGTGATTAGATCTCGGCCTCTCAATCGAAAGGTCGGTTGTGCGAGGCCCAACATGATCTGTGCTTGTTGGATGAGGGTGAGGCAACATTACCCAGCCCAAAAAAACCAAAAAATTTGCATGTAATTCTCAAACAGGAACACATTAGCGGTTCTTCGTGATGAGCTGAACAGCTGGTATGTTGATCCTTTCCCTTATAGATGAATCGTGTTGAATTAACATATGTTGACATTTTAAGGAACTGTATGTTTTGGTACAACTGGTAGCAGGTTTTAACCTGGTTCCAGTCGCGCAACGATTCGTGACGGTCGCTTAATGGTGAAAAACAATCTAAGCCTAGAAAATAACCAAAAAATTAATTGTGATTCTGTAGCAATGAAAACAGCTGCCGATCTCCCTAAAAACCTTAAGTGCTCGTACGTTAGTTTTTTTTTCACACGAGAACAAATAAAATAACGTTAAAAGTATCTTAAAACACCTTAATGTTTAGGGTAAGTTTGCACTACTTCGAGCAGGGGCTAGGATTTTCTCGAGGGGGGGACTTCCAAATTTTTTTTAGATCGACCAAATTGATTTTCTGAGCTCTCCTAAGTCATTATAAAGACCCCATTTTGACCAAAGTTTTTAGGCATTTTTTGGAAATTTTTCACCAAAAAAATTAAGTTTTTGGCGCGCACTCACCCTTAAAGTTAATATGATTTGGCGCCGAATGTTAGTTATAAGTAATTATAGTGTTAAGGTAATTAGAGGTAAAATATCTAAATTTTTAAGGTTAATTTAAATAAAAAATAGTTTTTTTTTTCACTTTTGTTATTGATTCACTTTAACTTTTAATTTAATTATAGGTAAACTTTTAAGTTATTTATAGGTAAGTTAAGTTTTACTCAAGGTAGTGCAAATTTACCTTAATCGCTAAGGTGTTTCGAGGTATTTTAGAGTTATTTTACTTTAAGTTTTCTAGGATCCCTCGCTTAAAAGCAGTCTAAAAATAACTTTTTTTCTGTTATGCGGTCTAAAAACTGTCGTTTTTGATTTAAAACGAAAATGCCGTTAACGATGTGGTATTTGTGGACCTCACATCAGAAAATACCCTACCCTGTTAGCAGGGGCGGATCTAGGATTTTCTCGAGAGGGGGGGGGCGGATTTTCAAAAAATTTTCTATATTTTTGACGACCTAGGTTGACAAAATTCATTTTCCGAGCTCTCCTTGAGCACTAAAAAGACGCTGTTTTGGCCAAATTTTCTGCGCCGAAGGCATTTTTTTGAAAAACAGGTCAAAAAGCTTTTTTTTTTTGGCGCGCGCTTCCCCTCAGAGTTAGTATATATTGGCACCGAAGGTGCCTTTGGAAAAATTTTAGGGTCGGTCGGCCAAAAATGGATTTCTTAAAAAGTACCAAAGTGGGGGGGGGGGGGGAGCGGCGGACGCCCTTCCTTCAGGGATTCGACCCCCTGCCGATCCAAAGGGTCCCCTTTGGGTCGGCAGGGGTCGAAGTCCTGAAGAAAAGGCGTCCTCCCCCCTAAATCCGCCCTTGCCTGTTAGAGAAATAGGCTCTTTTCCACTTCCCACCAACTTTCCAACTTTCTTTCTTTTGGTTTGTTCACATGTTCTTATGGCTAAACGCGTGATCTTACGAAATAATAGCGAATAGGTTCACAATCGTTAATATGTTCACTATTATGCCATTTTTAATTGCATTATGACAATACTAAAGTGGTTTTCAATACTGGAATTGAAAGGGGCAGTTGAAAAAGACGAGATTAATGGAGGTCTGTTTTCAGATCCGTACGTCAAAGTATACAACATGTACCAAAACAAGCGAGTGCAGAAAGTGAAAACATCCTGCAAAAGTCACACACTTGACCCCGAATTTGAGGAGAAATTCACGTTCACAGTGCCGACAAACAAACTGGACGACACTCTAATTGTAGTCACAGTCATGGACAAAGACATACTTAAATGGAACGAAAAAATAGGTATGTGAGAATGCAACGCGAGCTGTTTTCGCAATAGAGCTAAAAAATTTTTAGCAACGGAGGGTATTTTGGTATATTTAGGAGGCTAATTCGTCTAAACTTCCTATCCGTCGAAGAAAACAATTGCAGTCTTTCGGTTTTTAATACGTTCCTAGAAAAATTTCTTGAAAAATGTCTATCAATTCTTGAGACGCATTCAAGAAACTAATGGCCACTCTACAAAAAATGGTTACATAGAACTGAAAAGGTTTAAAAAGATAAAACTTCAAGTTTTTTGAATCTGGTGTTTTTTATTTTGATTGGCTAAGCAGCATAGAAAAATTTGCACAGGCTAATGATTATCTGCGATGCCTGATTTTGCGTGGGGAAAACTGAAAAAAGTATTTGAAAAATGAAAACATCAGAAAACAAAGTTTCTCTCCATTTTCAATAATTGGAACAAAACATTTGCTTTGGTTTTTAACTCAAGTTAAAAGAAAAGCAAAATTATGCAAAAAAACTTGCTGAACGTACTATTTATGCAACATATCAAAATTAAAACATAACAACATAACAAAAAAACTACATTCAAAAATTCTTCTATTTTTTATGTTTTGAATTCAAATCTTTAAAAAACAGTTTTTTTTGCAGGGGTGGCTTTCAGCTCTTCTAATAGATGGTTGCATGGTTTTCTAGAAGTTTTTTTTGTTCAGAACATGTTAAAAAGCAATTTACAGTAGATAGCAAAATTGGATCGATATCACTTCAAGATGGAGAGACTTGAAAAATGAAGCATTTCTACTTGATTTAGCCTCTAACTAGCTTTTTTTCTCTATTTTTTGCAGTTTTTTGCACATAATTTTCATTAAAAGGATGCAAAAAATGGAACCTGATCTAAACTACATTTTATGATTGGATAAATTAGATATTTTACCACTGTAAAGTATTTAATATTAACCAATCATGATCCATCAAACTAACAACCCACTTATTTGTAAGTGCTGGAATTACTTGTAATTTCAGCACCAGAGAGATTTGAATTTAACTTAGAAATTAGTTGACTCTCCAAGAAGACTTCAACAGCCGCAATAAACCAGTATACCCTAGATCTATTGAGCCTAGCAGAGACTAGTTAAACACCCTGAGACTAGATAGTATAAGAGTAAGATTAGGATCGGTATTAGACTAAGAAGTTGCACGAATCTATCCGGCCGAAAATAAGATAGCGTGACGAGCAGACGGTGTACCCTATCCGAAATTACTCTATGAGTTAACCACATCGGTCCTAACTCATCTGGTGCGACCATAAGTCTCGAACAAGACCTTAATAGCTTAGAATTAACCAAAAATAGATTAGAATTTAGACAAAACATTTTTAAAAATGTTACACGACGATAATTTAATCGAAATGTCTCTACGACTCAATAGATCAAAGCCAATATTCAGAACGATAAGAGAACTGCCCGGAATTGGAAGAAGACCTTGAACCAGAGACGACATACGACAAAGTAGAAACTTACCAAATAGTTATATGATAGTACGGCAAAAGCCAACACAAACCTTTATATTTAGAATCTTATTAGCAATGAATTTAGATTTTCATTTGCAAACTTAAATCTTGAAGTCAATCTTCATGATCATTTCAGGCGCTAAACAAAATATTAATATACAATAACGATTGATAAAAAGATCTCAGATCGTTTTTCTAAAATTCTGCAGTATTCTATAAAACATGTTTGGAAAATATTTATTGAAAATCAAAATAAAAATTAGTAGCATGACAATAAACTGTTAGTAATCATAAATCATCCAATTGTCCCAGCTTCATCACCTAAAACATAACAGCAATCATAAGCTCACTAATTAAATCATTTTAAACTTAAAAATATTTAAATTTAAAACCAGATCATCAAGGCTTATCCTTGGATCTTAATTCATTTTCTATTTAATTAAATTTAAAACTTGATCATCAAGGCCTATCCTTGGATCAAAAAGAACAATTTTGTTCTCCCCCACCCACTTAGCTAGTGTCTAACGACCTCAAACGTCGATTCACTATCCAACCCTTTCTAAAAACCCAAGACTAATAGAAATTTTTCAACAAAACTAACCATTCAAATTAGGATAAACAGTGAAGAACTTCAGTTATTTATCCTTCACTTGAACCCTCCTCTTATCAAGACCCAGGATAAATCTTAGACTTAGTAAGTTTAAAATAGTATCTAACGAACTACTCGCGTTCTAATTATACCTGAACCTTGTGGATCGATTTACTATTCTCCAACCCTTGAACACAATCACTACCCCTAAGTAAGATTAAGTAAGTTAACACCTTAGCTTATACTAGCCACGAGAAAGTAAAAAATCATTCTTCGGAATCGATATACTTTTCTCTCCAACCCTGAACAAATAGACCCAGGTTAAGCTAACCAAAAAATCGTAAGGACTAACAATTTAAGAAAATAGAAATCATCTAACAACTTTTTGCATCCGTCATCCTAAACCTTATGTCATTTAAAAATCTAGGAAACAAACAAACAATCGTTTTACACAACTGTGAAATAGATAACAAAAAATACGATCTTGTAATCACACCTCATACACAAACAGTTGGATATATTAGAACAAAACGACAAACACTAAAAAGAAAAATAATAACTAAACAAAGACAAATAACACGAAAAAAAATTTCCAAAAATAGAAACGCATTTTCAGAATCAGAAGCCAGCAATTTAGACGAACTCTATAAATTAAAAGAATCTATAGATAAAAATTGCCCCATTCACGATCAATTATATTTTTCCGACTCAGAAACAACTTCAAATTCATCAAAAAGAGGAAAAAGAAGAATAAAAAAGCAATATAAACACAAACCAATACATTTATATAATTGGAATCAACCAATTAGACACATCGATAATTACCTATTAACAGTCATTAAACGAAAAAATGAGCCAAACACACACTCCAAGTGAAGATAGTCCAGATGATGACGATATCTTCCCCTTCCTCGTAGATGCACCCAATGATAGAGGACAGCATATACTTTGCAAGAATTTACTACTAAATTTGTTTGAACCCGGAATCAGCCCATGTAAAACAGAGTTCCCAGATGTAAAAATCAAAAGACAATTTATTGATCACTATCTGAAAGATATATGTAATTTGACACAACACTACGGAATCTACACCATAGAATTCACCTCACCAAACCCAAATCACCGCAAATATGTAATTCAAACAGACGACCTTGATTTAGAATTTTCAAAAGTATTCTCAGAATATATAAAAAGCATACAATATCATAACTCACAAAGAGCAAACTCCATATTTACTAATGATGTTTTTGCAATAATATATAGTTATATCTCAATATTAGAAAACGAAATCCCAATCTCAAATGTCTCACCGACAGAGACATCTAAACATATAAGGGTACGACATGAAATCACACTATTTTCATCTTTTCTAAATATAATTAAAGAAAATTTCACTAAAGATGAAGTTTCACAACATACAAAACATGACTTACAAAAAATTCTGGCATGGTTTATAATAGATTATTTCACACATAATATAGATTTAATTTCACAAGCAAGAAAAAATTTTAGACCTCAAAATTCAAACGATGATACCGCCATCACAGAACAGTCAGACTACGTTTGGGACCCCGAATGGTCTCATTATGCATTTATAAATATCCCACAATCAATTGCAAGTCAAGCAATAAGTACAATATCTTATATAAGAGATTATGTAAGAGTAGTACCATTAACCATTGACGCAACACCATTAAACTACAATACATTTTTACCTGATACTCGAAATAACAGTTTAAATTCGACCGTCATACACAATGAAAACCTTAATGGAACTAGAAATCTCACTCAACAAGATATTCAGACACCATCACACTTCATAAATGAAGAAATTGTCCAAACAACAACAACTACACAACAAAGTATTTCACCAATACGTCCAAATTTAACAACACCAAGAAATACAAACACTTCGCTAGCACAGGTAACCTTACAATCAACCGTTAAACCTTCGGTTGCTCCAAAATATTCACAAATGGATTACCAAACATATAGACCCATGACAATACCGTCAAAAACACGCAGAACATTCACAAGAAACAATTTTGCGGAACATAATTATAATTATACACATTCGTCAAAAACAAACTATCCTCCACGAAATAATAATAATAATCAAATCAGATCTTGATATTGGAATAATCCAATGGCAACAACCAATTCAGTAAATTTTCAAGCTAATCCACATCCTCCACAGGATCATAGTGAAAATTACCCATTCTTTCAACAGAATAAACATAAAAAACAAGCACCTCATCAAATGGATTACCTATCCTCTGATGATGATCATTTACAACCAGATATATTTGCACCATATACCCAAGAATATCGCGGACAAGGAATGCAGAAACCATATACACATCATAGAAATTTTTCTCCACACCAGATAGATACACAAAATCAACAACCAATACAAATGCAAAACCCAATTAATACACAATCTTTTCAACCAATTCAGCCACAAAACCCAATGATTACACACTCATATCAACCAACACAAATGCAAAATGAAATACCACTTCCATATTATCTTCAACAACACGAAATAACAAAAAATCAACTTTCTAATTTTTCACAAATGCCAAATGCAGCAGAATCATTACAAATGACAATGAATCCATACCTTATGGGTGGATCATCAATAACATCAAACAAACCATTAATGGTATTCACAGGAACAGACCCTGAATATTCTGTAGAAGATTATTTAAATGCAGTAACAGCAAATTTAGTTTTAAATATAGGACCTGAACCAATTAATACGCCACTACATCAAAACTGGATACATCGACGCACAGCGTTGATACAGACAACCCTAGACGGCGCAGCCCAAAAATGGTTTTCAGTATTGCCTATAGAAATAAAATCAAATTGGAAGAGATTTACACAAGAATTTTCAAAAATGTTTGACTCCGAAAGAAA